TTCCTTGTTTTCCACCGGCTTATCGGATTTGTCGTCGACTTTTTTCGCTTCAGCAGACATTCTGACTTTCTTCGGCACGTCGTACACCGATTCTCTGTCCGCCACTTTGATAGTCTTCGAGTTACTAATCGGACGCAGGCTTTGAGGAATAAATTAGTCGATTATTCGCTTTACTTACCTGTAAAGTGAGTTGAACCTGGATGAAGGCAAATCGGTTTCGGGAGCACTATTTATCAATCTGTAATAAAAGACGTGAGGAAATTCTGTCTTTTTTAAAGACAAAAATTTTTGAGGCGGAATACCCAAAAAGAAGTTTGTAAAAAAAGGTGATAATGTGCTGCTAAGGCTCAGAAAGGGCAACGGGAGTTTGTCGCAGGAACCTCGACAGTCCCGCCGTTCTACCTCGACGAAGAGCGCAGAAAAAAGTCCCCTTGGACCTGCTCCACTCCGAACACCAGCAGGAAATTTGAGGCCCGAAAGCAGGCTTCAATGTCCACTCCAATCACTTACAGCGGTATGCAAATTGCACTACTTATCAGCTTTTCTAGCGATTTTTTTAGGGACTTTTGCCGTTAACAAGGAACTAGTGCCGATTACACTTGAGGGCATCAAAGGAACTTCTCCCAAGTCTTCGCCGCGCGCTCGCAAGTTGCACAGGTCGGAGAAAAAATCCCCCGACAAGGCAGAAGGCGCTTTTCTGGATATCGGGCGACTGGACCACATTTCCGAAGAAAAACTCGCCTTGCAACTATCAGCGGAAAACTGCTCAATCGGCAGGTCCAATTGTGGCTTTTTTGATGCTCCCGTACTACCGGGCACGGTGTTGGACGGATGTGACTAGGAGCTTAAGATAAATAGTCCTTACGAGTTAACGTAATCTTTTCCATATCATCGGCTTAAGCCGAAAAAATATATTGCTATTAGCATTGGTTTGGGGGAGCGGAAAAAGTGAATTAAACCAAACAACAAGACTTATATTTCCAAATTAACCGGTTGGGCCACTTTTTCCAAGTCGTACAACGCCAAAACCGGCTTAACTTCATCTTGCAAAAATTCGGCCACCTGCTCAGGGGCGCGCCCAATATAAGTAGCTGGATCCAGTAGCGAACCCAACTCAGAAACAATCGGAGCAAAGTATGCGTCTTTCCGAACTCGGTCCAAAAGATCGTTTTCCTTGCCGTGAATCTTCACTTGGTTGCCCGCCTCCTGAGAAAGAACTCGTATTTTTTCATGGCAAACCTGAAAAATGCGTCCGATTAGCAGATTGCAGACCCCCCCTAACACCCCCGATCAATCTCACCTGCCGATCACCCCCTTTCTTCACCATGGCCATAATAATATTCTCAGCGGACATAAAAGGCAGCTCTTGATCGATGCGCCGCTGGATCACCTTCGGGTAAACCACCAAGCCCTGAGTTATGTTGGTGAGAGTCATCAGAGCAGCGTCAGCGCACAGAAAAGCCTCGGCTAAAGTTATGCGACGGTTAGCTGAGTCATCCAAGGTGCGCTCCAACCTGCAAAACACATTTTATTTTACACGAAAACTCGGTAATTTGGATTCTGTCCTCAATTGCTTCCTACCATTGCACACTGTGGGTATTCGCAGCGTTTGAAAAAAGCGAAATCAGATGGCGAGCCAAGGCGCAACATCGCTCACATCTCATCGGGTTTCTTTTGTATGGCATGGCCGAACTCCCGATTTGGCTCTTCTCAAACGGCTCCTCTACCTCCTTCATGCTGGCCAGCAAGCGCAGATCGGAGCACATTTTATGGATTGTCGAGCCTACACAGTTATAAGCCTGATAAGAAAATTTAAAAACATAAATTGACGCTGAAGCTGCGTACCCAATGAGGACAAAACGGCAACCACCTCCAAGTCAACCTTTCGGCTGTAGGTTTGCCCAGTTACCGGATAGGACGAATTGAAGCCGCTCAACTCCGACACTCTTTTATCCACAGCCTTCACTTTGGCTCCATCGCCATTGAAAAGCTGCATAAACGACGCTTGAGTCCCAGTGGTGCCTTAAACAAGCCTCCCCAGGTAGTGAAACTCCCTAGAACCCCAAAGGAGGAGCTCACCTTTGGCCCCCCTGAAGCGAAGATCTTGCTTAGCTCTACGCAAAGCCCGCTCATCGAGCAGAAAATCGAAGAGCCAAAGCGTGGCGCGTTTTCCCACCGTGGTCAACTGGGCGGGCTGAAGATGGGTGAAACCCAGAGCTGGCACAGACCTGGGAATCATCCAGAATTTCAGCCTAGCTCAATGGCTAGAGCCAGTCTCTCACTTGTATTCATCGCAAAACTGAGCCAAGTTGTGAATAACCCCGGCCAATCGGTTCTGAAGCAGCTCGAGTCCGTCCCGGAGGATGATCAGATCCGTATTGTCGCCCACAAAGCAAGAAGTGGCCCCCAAGTGGATAACGGGCGCGGCCAAGGGGCAAAGTTTGGCAAAGACGTGCACATGCGCCATCACATCGTGCCTGGTGAGTTTCTCCTCCTCAGCCGCCTCTTTGAAGTCGATGTCGTAGATGTGGGATTCCATCTCTTTGATCTGGGCATCCGCTATATCCAGGCCTAGTTCCTAAAAACCATCAAAAATTTCCTCTTTGTCCACTGAAATACGACAGTTTCGCTACAGAAACTTTTCAACCGCCCTGGTAGATCGGGAAAGTCAGACGAGGACAGCCCGGTTTCTATAGCAACCGCCATACTTGCCTCGCTCCTTTGCACAGCGGCATGCCGATTGAGCCGAGCTGAATTTGGCTATTTGTGCTACAGGGGGCGACCAAGAATGTTCGTCTTGACTGTTTTGTTGATAACTACTCAAAAAATGAGCCCACGCTTGGATGCTTCCAGACTATTAGTTAGAGTGGTGTGTAATAGTCAAAACGACCTTATTTTGGATATTTCGGTATATGTGCTGTCAAAATCGGGATTGAAAATGAGTGACGGGTCGAAATACCCAAACGTTCCTTCCTGGCAAAAATATTCCCCAATCTGAATGCCCTATAGGAGTGTCAGGGGCGTCGACAGAGGGGTGCAGGATGAACAAGAACTGAAGAAAATCAAATGGGAGGAGAAGAGGAAGCGCAGGGAGAAAACGCAGAAATGGTGTGTCATGATCGGGCTGACTCTCATCGAATTTGTGAGTTGGGTTTTCCCTGTTGGGGAACCTTATCATAACGCCCTTTTCCAGGTGCTATGTTTGGTATGCTTTGGCCTTGGCTACTACTACTACTACACCGCGGAAATATACAGAAACAGTCTTGGAAGAAATTATGTAAAGTCTATTAGATCCCTCCTGGAACGCCCGGCGCCTCTGGCCATATCCAGCGTATTTTTGACGCTAACATACGTGGACCTCATCTCCTGGCACAGCCTAAGGTGACAGTGGAAGGGGCAAAAAATCACCAAACCAAACATTTTCCGTTCGCAGGCCTGTGACATATTTCGCATGGATCATGGTCGCCTCAGCCGGCTTTCTGATGTTCCTGCTCTATGCTGGATGCATCGTTTTAACCAGCGACGCCCTCCATTCTTATATCGCCATTGTTTTTGGATGCATAACCGCTTTGGTCTTTTTAGCCGATCTCATATGCATGTTGATGTAAGTGTGGGGGAAATATTGATATTTTTGCCGTCCTTCAACTGTCTCAGGTCGCTGAAGCGATTCCCTGTCCCCCATTGGGTGCTCAAACGCAAGTATGAGAAGCTCGATCAATGTGTGTGCACTGGCGACTACGATCCAGAGGAGGAGGAAGGTAGATGTCCTTCACCATACCATAATGGCATGTAATGTTCGGTGTTTTTGCAGTTGAGCGGCCCATTTGTCGATGTGGAGACCATTGGGGTAAACCGAATTAAACCCCCGAGTTTTCTGGAAACAGTGGTTTGAACTGATCTTTGATCTTAATTAGGTGAGCCTTGCACGTGCGACGATCCCGACCTGACTTGTGGATGCAGCCTCGACAAGGCTGGTAAGTTAATGGGTAGGAACCAGCCCCTAAAGTCTAGGAAATTGCAACGCTGCAGGTAAGCCGCCATGTGAATGCTGCGAGTGCGCAGCACAAGTCTTAGTTGCGGACGATGATGGGGCAACAATTTACGGTTCCGTTTATGACGGACGTTCGATAGTCTCCACTATGACTGGTTGCGACGAGTTGGAAGAACGAAGAAAAACCACCTTTTCGCAGGCTTCGCTCCCGATGGAGCAAATTTGCTCCCAATTCACTCCGGGCAGATATTGCGTGGATGGGCCCTTGGGCAGATCAACCTTTGCAGGTTCATCTAGAGGAACCCCCAGCCTGGAGATTGCAACCTGAACATATAAGTTTCAGACCCGTGCTCAGGGCTAGAGGCGATTTCAACAGCGCGCAAATCTGCAGGAATGTCTGCGCCTAGGAAATCAACAATGGCGCCCAACAGAGTATCGACTGCATCCACTGCAGTAGAACCAATGGCAGCATCGAGCAGATTTCACCAAATGTCTGCGGCCAGTAGGACAGGAACGATCGCCAGCAGGAGCCGAATTCTGGCTCCTTCGGGATCGCGGGGAATTGGCAGTCCGTCGATGACGCAGGCAGCAAAGCACGGGGGTCTTCATGGGACTTTGACCGAAACGATTGGGGCGCCGTCGATGGGCTTAGCCAGCAGAGTGGCCATCAACAAGCCCTTGCCCAAATCCAAGTCCCAGATGGTTTATTCTGTGTATACAACCACGGTGGATGATCAGGAAGCCATGCATGAGTCTATTGGTGGGCGTGTGTCCTTCGCTGGGGGGTTTCCAGTAAGGAAAGTGGGTTTTAGCTTCCAAGTATTACAAGATTAAGCATTGTGCGCACAAGGCCGCACCAGCGAGTTGGAGTAGGGATGGGGAAGCTGTGGAGGAAAGCTGGTCTTCGACGGATGAAGAAATCGGCGCTGAGGGCGATAATCCGACGAGAAAGCTGCCTGCAAACGCTCGGGGATATTCGGGAAAATGTGGCAATTGGACCAGGTTGTGGCAGCAGAGAATAATAAAAGCGTTTCAGGCCGGAGGAGGCCTGATAAGGGCAAGCGGCTGAGATTCAGCTCCTGCACAGCCACAGAGAGAGTTGTTGATCCAAACCTCCACCTCCAAATGGGGTACATGTCGGATCCGGAACTGGCCCAGGGCCCCAGCAGGATTTACACGGTAAGGCGCACACATGCAAATACAGGGTTATTCACGCTATACGGCACGGAAGTTTGCGGCTAAACCGTTTGGTTTTTAAAAAGTATTATTTTATGAATTGTCCGACGCCTACCG